AATAAAAAGTACACACGCGTCCCGCAGAGTCTGTCGTCGTGGTGGTGGCTGACACGGTCGCATCGCAAGGCTCCTGTTGCTCACTCCTCCTTGATGGTCATTCCCAGGCGTGGCAGCACGCTGCTGTTTGGCCGTCACGAGTCGTGGAACCAATTTTGAATTCACGAGCAATTTATTTTTAACACGCGACATGACGCCGCTTTCCGCACGGACGGGCCGTTGTATTTTTCTAATTTGGTAAATGATAGTAAAAAACATCTATCTTAATTTCAAGAGCCGCCATGCCACGTGAATACAAGACGGTGGGTCCTTAATAAATAGCGGCACGAAGCGGTCGCTTAAAGAGCTGCAATGGGCTTCCGGAGCCGCAGGTTTGCCCGATTCCTTGACGTAGACGAATATGACCTCGCAACTCTCTTGCATGGAAGAAAACGAGAAATACACGTTCCCAAAGAGGCTTTCAAGAGGGGGACACACGAATGTTCACGGCTAATCCCCCATTACAGGGGGCAACATCGGAGAGTTCTGCACGGTGTAGCCAACGCTACCCTCGCCAACACTGCGGAGACAGGGAAGGGTTCCAGTCAATTGTTTCCACCTTCACCGTCACACACAGCTCCCTCCTTCACACACAACTCTCTCCTCTTCATCCACAGCTCTATGCTGCTGACGGGCCCTCGTCACCCCCATGGCCTCCTCTCCCATTCCCTCCCTTCAAACGCACTGCTGCGACATTGGCGTTTATTGCATGTTTCGGTGGAATTTATCCAAATGAAGTAAAAATCCTGATTCTAAAATGTATACACACATTTGATGGGTGCAGTCATTGTTAGCTGGGCCAAAGCCATCCACTCGTTAAACTCGAGAACCCGTTCAATCACAGGCAGTGGCTGCAGCCCTCACTCCAACCCACGGTGTCAGTGGCGCCGGCTCGGCGCTAGGACCTCTGAGCTGCCCCAACCTCCTCGTGGCATCTCGAGCGGTGTGCCGCCACAAAGTTGTGCTAATTAGCAGGACCGACTCTTTGGTTCGGTCCGCCGTGAAGATCGAGCGAGCTCGAAAGTGTCCCGTTGCAATGAAAGGGGTTGAGAAATCGCTGCTATCGAGTACGTGGATAAACCTATGATCGATCGGGGCTGTGGCTCTCGCACAGATCTGGAAGATCGCCGGCGAACGGTGGAACAGCATGGACGTCCGGAATGAACGCCGCGTTCGAGACCCAAGCATCAACCACCGCACACCTCCTGGCATGGACAATCCTCCGCAAATACACCGCTGTCACCAGGAACCGCACCAGAACATCAACGGAACGATGCGCACGTTTTAACGAATGGAACATTAGAGACGAGCCACAACACGCAGCAGCAGGAGTGCGACTGTGGTCATGCAACTCAAGCTGTGGACCGTAGAGCAAACCCACACACACGTTGTGATACATGGAGACTCGTAGAGACCCATAAGAGACTCGCAGAGAGAGAGGTACATTAAAGAGCAGCCACAGCGCGACTCAAGCTGTGGACCGTACAGTCAACCACCGTCGTCTCTTGCTCGAGGGAAAATGAGCTGACGTGACTGCAAGGCCACCTCGTGAGTCCTGTGTCTGTAGACAGACCACTGCCAGTGCAGTCGCATGCAGCTCAATGCGAAGCAGTGCTGGTTGAGATTATAAACTAAAGCAAAGTATTTATATTTAAAATTACCAGGTAAGGCCCCACTGAGCTATGTAGAGTTTCTTTTTTCAGCAGCGGCCTGGCTGTCACAAGTGAGAGCTCAACGAAGTGGCTTATCACGGAGACATTTATGGCAGACGCAAATAAAGAGACGCGTGTTTGTTAAATGTAGAGGGAAAACGGACCTGGAGACAAATCCACGCGATCACGGGGAGAGAGAAACCGCAAACTCCAAATATACAACAGCAGGAGTCAGAATCGGAACCGAACCCACGACCTCCTGTATACCACGCGAGGAAGTTAACATCTCCTCGCCACCGTGGCACCCCACACAAGTGAACGCCTCGACTGCCTCACAGTGGTAGGAGCTTATCAAATAGAAACAGATCAAGTGGCGTAGTCTCTTTCATATCTGTCTCTCCGCATACACTATATACATCACGAGCTACACATCCACGGGACCAGTTGTGTTGCCGGTATCGACATGGCGATGTCGGCAGAAGAGAGGCGTTTTACCCTTTCCGGAAATAACGCAGGAGGTGATAATTGGGTTTTTACCCTTCTATCTGGCAACAAAACTGACACCTTTTTACAAGGAGTCATGTTTGCATAGACCACAATACCTGCAGTCATGATGGAAACAAAAAACATAACTCTGATAATGTGCACTGTCCTTGAAGTTGATGGTCCACACCCGAGACAGCTTTCCTTAGAGCCTAGTCTCACATGGGTTGGACCAGATGATAAAAGGGTAAAAAGCCAATTATCATAATTTTTTACTGGCAAATGATATTCCAATGGTGTAAACGCAGGAGGTGTCAAGACGCCCAAACACCAAATGGACTCACCGATTGCAAGGCGTCGAGTCTGCATTAACCGCACATTCACGGATTGGTGTTTGCATCGCATCTGTGCTGCCGATCGCCTCCTCGTGTCGTTGTTCTCTGGCCTGACAACTGGTGGGTGGGTCAAGGCCATGAAGGAGGACGTCTCTGCTGGAGGCCACTGTCGTGTCAGGGACAAGGCGTGCATCATCAGAGCACGTCGCTTTGGATGCTTGACCACAAGCGCGACGTGTGGTCAATGCAGACTCGATGCCCTGTAGTCGGGGTGTCTATTTGGTGTTTGCGCTTCGTAACACCTCCTGTGTTATTGTCGGAAAGGGTATGAAGACTTTTATATTTAATCATCATCATGATGATAATTAAATTATATTGAAGCCGTTGAAGTAAACAGTGGTTTAAAATAAAATGTCACAATCAAATACTCGTGCTGCTTGATTCTCAGAAAACATCCAATCTTCTAGGAGACATAAACACTGACACGCATTAACAAGGGGCGAAGTTTCTCCAATGAACACGTGAATGCACATTTGAGCACACTGCACAGAGTTACACACTTCTGCAAACCTTGCACGTTACACACAACAGAGAGCAGCATTATAGGATACAGAGCTACTATTGACCACGGTGATAATAGTAATAAGAGTAATAATCAGAGGAACTCGCTGACAGTCAAGACGATGGGGCCACGTGTATTCACTCTCCCTCCCGCCCCCGGCCGCCTCTGCCCACCCAGCAGCGGTCGCGTTGACCAGCGTCACTCACGGGGTGACGGTTGGTCACTCACGGGGGGGGGGGGGGAGATGGCACGAGCCCCCCCCCTCGTGCCCCCCACGAGCCCCTTCCCGTGCCCCCCACGTGCCTCTCGCGTCTCCAACGTTGTAACGATGACGAGGGACCACGTGCCGAGTTTGAATGTCGCCATGTTGATGATCGCGGTCGTTGCCAAGGGACACGACGGTCACGTGAGGCCCGTAACGGGCACAGAACTCCAGCACGGCGAGAAGAGCAGACGTGTTTGTGTGATTCTGCGTCGTCCCTGCTCTCTTGAACGTGAACAGCGGCGACACTTTCAACAACCTGAGAATCCCATCGACCGATTATGCCACGAGAGCTTCCCCAAGGTGAGCGTCGGACTTTTAAAGGGAAATTATCAACATTTTTACCCCAAAAATGTCAATTTCTTCCCTGTGAAGTACCGGTGAGGACGCTTGACACCGAGGTTGAGGCACACGTGTATTTATTTTACAGGTCGTCACGACAGGACAGCACTAGAGGGGGTATCGGCCCCCTCACCCGTATAACTGGGGATACACCACTAGCTATCCCTGACCTACCCCGAGTCCTCCACTAACGGGCTAGGGGAGGCTGTCTGGCCCGACACTGGTGAGTCGGGCTACGGTACCCGGAATCCCAGAGTGCTGACTCTGGTTCACGGGACCACGCCGCTGGCTCGGTCCTGCGCGGCCCTGACAAGGGCGGCGTCTCAGGGGAGTCCAGGGCTCTAGCTACCCGGGTCTTCAATCTTCCCTCCTTTGTTCTAATACTGAGCCTCGAGCTCTCTCTGTCATCCCCTTTTATACCCCCTCCAGGATCACAACCCCGGGCAGCCCTACCCCCAGGCTGCCCGATGCGGACGTCGTTGCGGGCACCCCCCCTCGCTTACTCCCGGAGCTCCGCCCACTGTGTTTGTTCGCCGTTTGATCTTATGTACAAACAGCCCCTCCATAACAGCCCTACACCTGCACACGCACACACGCACACCACATACGAGACAGGCAGCACAGTAGAATAAGCTAAATGTTTAATTATATTCTAGATTTGATATTTTCGTGACTGCAGGGATCCATACTCTTTGGTTCTTTCGGTAAAGTCACGGACTTCAGCAATTGTTTCTTGCTGTGGTTGTCCCACCTGATGACGGACACTTGTGTTGCGCCCGAAACGTCGTGATTTAATTTATTAAAATATATACCTACGTGACTCTAATTATATTGTACTAGATCTAGAATTAATATTGTACTAGCTTTACTACCCGGCTTCGCCCGGGACTTGGATTATTGTCTTGGATTAATACGCGGAGGGTGGGGGGGGGGGGGTGCGTGACGTCAGTATGCACACTGCGTGACGTCACTAGGCATACTGCGTGACGTCACCGCTCCCTGGCCGTGCAAAATGTATCATTATTGTGCCCCCCCCCCCCCCAAATACAAAAGTCTATTTTTATATTTTTTCCATTGCGTACTGTCTGGAAGTTGCCCACATGCCAAATATCAAGTTTGTTGCATGTTGGGAAGTATGTTAAACATTTCGAACAGACACATTCAATAATGTACCGTTTTTGTACATAGATGAGGTAAAACGATCGTTAAAGTATTTATTCGTCCATATTTGGTCAGAAGACGACGTGAAACTAAATCGACAGCACGTCAACAGCACTGCTGCGAAGGGAAACAGACACAATAGATGGCGCTGTTGAAGTGGGGCCATGACCCACGTGCCCCTGCACCTGTGGAGGCCGCAGTGTCGCTATCGACACGGATCGTGCTGAGTGGTTGTGTTCTGGTGCAACCTGTTCGCCACTGCCCACGCAGCAGCAGCAGCAGCAGCACCACCCGTATGGTTTAATTGCGTGTTGGTCGCTTTAAATAACCAATCTCGCGATAAATAGTCACTCGAAAGGCTCGAAACGCCGAGCTCTGCGTGTGGGGGTTTGGGGTTGGGCCAAGTGGTCGTTGTAGGCCGTGATTCGTGTCGGGGTGAAGCGGTCGCGTTGACAACCGTCACTCACGGGGAAGGGGCAATGGGGGGGGGGGCAAAGGACCCCCTGAGCGACCAACCGTCACTCACGGGGGGGGGGGGGGGGGCAAAGGACCCCCGTGAGTGACCAACCGTCATACGGGGGGGGGGGGGCAATGGGGGGGGGGGGGCAATGGACCACCCGTAAGTTACCAACCGTCACTCACCAATTCAAAATCATGAACTTTATTAATCGTGGATAAATCCGATGAGCTATAAAGCTCTTTTAAACGATTTCAGGAAATTACACCAATAACAACAAGAGAAAAGTATGAGAAAAGTAAGTTAATCCCGAAAACGAAATGAGCTCCACTCTTTTTAAATCCTTTATATTAAGTTCACTTGCGCGCTTGCTTGCTTGCGCGCTTACGACCGTGCAAATCTTTCGGTCGTCTTTTTAACCCACTTCCCGTGATCCAATCGAGCTGGCATTTTGCACACAGACTCGCTGTGTGTGACAATTTATTTTCGTAAAAAAATGTTTAATTTTTTAGGAAAAATAAAAATTCATATGTTATTTAAAATACCAATGTGATAAAAATGAAACTCTTACTCAATAAAAACAGAAATGAATAATAAAATGAAACTGATGCCACGCATATAAAGGATTTATAGTGAAAAACTTTGTTTTTACGGGTTATTTTTTTTTTATTAAACCAGGTGAAGCCCACTGAGCTATTTAGTTCTTCAGAAGCGATCGACAGGCCCATGTCTGTCTCCAGTGGGAAATGTAGAGCCGTGTGTTTGTCCGCAGTGTAACATGTGATCGCTGTGCTTCTGCTTCTCCTTCTTCTTGCAGTTGGCGACCCCCGCGAGGGATCCCGCGGGGCTGTGCCCGGGACCCCCTCCCCGGATGAAGCCCGAGGCGCGGCGCGGGTCGCCGTGCCGGAGCTGACGGGAGCCGCGCAGGCGGCGGCGGGGCCGCGTCTGGGGGCGGAGCCTCAGGTGAGGGGGCGGGGCCCCGGTGGCGGGCGGGGCGGGGCCCGCTGGCGCCACTCAGCCAATCACAACGCTGAGAGTGCACGGGGTGGGGGAATTGTTACAGGAAAATGATAGGCGACGTTTCAGACAATGGCCCTTCTGCAGAGCACATCACATCAATTACATAACGTCGCCTATATAAAATTGCCCCAAAAGTCAGGACACAGAGTTACCGTATTTATTTGAACTAGTCACAGAGGATGTTATCAAAATTAATGATAGTTAAATTGTTAACTTTAAGAACAAATAATGAGAACTATGTAATGTCAGTGTTAAGATAAATTAAGTAACCCTGTGTCTTAACTTTTGGGCCAACTTGTATTTTGCACTCCTATGATGTTTGTGTTGTTCGTTGTTGTAACATTCTTACCCGCCCCGACTGGACATCTGTGAAAAAGAGCTTTATAGCTCATCGGATTCCTCCCGTATAAATATTCTGACTTTGATAAAAACGTGTTTTACATATATAAAGTATTCTTAAATATATAAAAGCGACGTTTCAGTTAATGCCCCTTTTTCAGAGCACATCACAGTTGGCCCTTCATGACGTCGTTTGTAAGAGGGTGGCCGAAAAATCAGGATTAGTGTATTTATTTGAACAAATCACGGAGGATTATTTAGTTTAATTTTAACAAATGTTAAAAATGAATTTGATTAACATGAATGCTCGATTTATCTTCTGAAATGCATTTATGACCTCTTTTAAACTACAGCTGCCTTCTCTCTCGCATGCATAACAACAAATTGAATTAGTTCATCTTTAGTCAATGGCCGTTCTTCATATAATATTTTACGAGTTAAAGTGAGTTTGGGGTTACTTTAAAAATACAGGTGTATACTGTAAATATATTTTGCTTCTGAGACAATTCATGCAGATCGCCCATAGGTTCATGGACTAAAATTGTATTTCTTTTGGTGATAAAACAGTCCCGCGTGTGTTGGGATCCCAGTCCAGATGGGAGGAACAATTGTGGATGTTTTGACTACGTTGTGTGGCAGGACCCAACCACGACTGTGGCGTGCGGAGCAGAGGGCACCTCGTCCGGCAACGACCTCACGGTCTTGGCCCCCACCTCGTCCAACGAGGTGCTGGTGGCGGCCGACGAGTGGCTCTGCACGCAACCCTGCTGCCTTCCCCATGGCCGGCCGGAGCCCTCCCCTGTACCAGCCACAGAGAACATCAGCGTGTCTGTGCCTGCACCCCAAGGTGAGTGTGCAATCACGCGACGTCGTGGCATCTCATTAGGGTGGCAGCCACCAACGCAAGGGCCGCTTTGGAGCCACTGCTGTTGCCGTTCACGAGTAACACGGGGAGCTCAAAACACCCAGCAGCCAACGCGACAGGCAAATTATATTTTTCGCGAACTTGAACCTGACACTTAAATGTGGAGCAAAATCTTCGTGGTTAAGAGTAGCAGTACGGGTGCTGGCTGGGGCTACTGAATATCCACGCCAGCCCCATCGGCAGTGCAGCGCTCTGCGATGACACCGGCTTCCGACCCTTTGTGCAGAGGAGGACGACGGCATTCCGGCGGCACGGCTCTCGTTGTTTGCACCGGAGCGGCTGAACCTCCGGTGGGAGAGCGACGTCTGCAAGGGTGCCGGCCTGCGCAACCTGGGGAACACCTGCTTCCTCAACGCCACGCTGCAGTGCCTCGCCTACACGCCGCCGCTCGCCAACTACCTGCTGCTGCAAGAGCACTGCAGCACCTGTAAGTACCCTCCCCCCTGGCACTCTCGTTTACCCATGGGTTAGGTTATTATGTCAGTTATTTTGCTGCGATACATTTCCCACGTGATAAGCCACTTCGTTGAGCCATCATTTGTGGTCCAGGTCGCTTCTGAAGAAGCTAATAGCTCAGTGGGCTTTATCTGGGAAGATGAAAAAAAAGTTTAGTTTTATTTGTAGATTTTTAAAAGGTGATTTGTTTACCTTTCCAATACTTTGTACTCTGATCGTTTTTTGTATTGTTTGGTGTTGTAATGTTCTGACCCAGTGCCCCTACTCGACATTTTTTAAACAAAACCTCTTAGCTTATCGGATTCCACCAGTATAAATATTATGATTTTGATAAACACGAGCACATGTGGCGATAATTTTTAATAGGTCGGACAGATGTGATGCAATTGGTACTTAGACGCAACATTCATTGCGATTGTTGCTGGTGCCAGGATTCTAGCCTTTCTTGTTACTCCCCAGCTGGGCTGAGTGCAAGTGGCGTGCGCTGACGGATTGTGCCACCTGTGCTCTCGTTCGCAGGCCAACAAAGCGACTTTTGCCTGATGTGTGTCATGGAGCATCACATTGTCAGCACGTTCAACAACTCGCAGAGAGTGCTGACACCCAAGGTCATAACTAAGAACATCACGCGTGAGTCCCAATACTACGTTCACACTTGCACTCGCAGGAGAAGTTATCCCCCGCGATCTTTCTCCATCTGTGTTCCAAGTCCTTTGCACCACTCCTTTTGCCATATATGTTGGGGAGCTCTTTAAGGATGTCATCAGATCCTGTACCTGTCACTTTGTCCCCATGTCCATTTCTCTGCAGGCATCGCCAAACACCTGCGCATTGGGAGACAGGAAGATGCCCACGAGTTTCTGCGATACGTGGTAGATGGCATGCAAGCCTCATGCCTCTATGGCCACAGCGAGTGAGTACTGCGCGCCAGTCAACATGCGGCAGTCGTTCTGCAGTTTGGTACCTCACGGCTTCCTCTCGGTTTTCTGCACGATTGTACTTCAACGTCTGTGAAAAGCTACTCACACTTTTGTGTGAACACCTGGGAGATGCAGAGGACCGGCCCTGCTGACACCACGGTTCTTTCACCTTGGCCCTGACGTGGGCCATCTTTTGTTTGTGCATTTCACATTGCCGATAAATATCGGGAAATTGATGTCTCGATGTGCGGTGTCCCCGTGACGACATTCCTCGTGTTGACGAGCGGCACGTGGCACGCCGAGCACAACAAAAGCGCCGGGCAACAGCACCGCGTGATGGCTGCCAGCTTTCCCCCAGCTCTGTGGCTGTTCCGTGAAGGTGGCTGCCCTGTGCAGACGCGACCACGTTTGGTTGCTACAGAGCACGCGTTGCAGTGCTGAAGGGAAAGAGTGAATCGACAGCTCGGGCAATGGTGCAACTCTCACACACGTGTGTGCATCCGGTAAAGGTGTTACTACTGCTGCTGCTGTAACCACCGTGTGGTGTCGTTCTCTGTGACTGGCAGGCTGGACAGATACACGGAGGCTACCACCCTCATTTACCAGATCTTCGGGGGTTACCTTCGATCACGTGGTGAGTTGTGCGCACTCCTCTAGAAACTTGTTCACCGCGAGCAGCAAGTGCACCATCACAGTGTAGACGTGCTCGCGTCGCAGCGTTTGCACACTCTCACGCACGTGCAACACAGAATAACCTTTTACCAGTTGGTGAAAACTACCAATTACCAATGTCAGTGGGGAGCGTGCATTTAGTTTTACTAAGTAACATGTGACGTCCCTTCCTAATGCGTGTGTGCTTGTGTTTTGCAGTGGAGTGCATGCAGTGCTGCAACCACTCCGACACCTTTGACACGTGCCTGGACATTGCACTCCATATTAATGTAAGCAATGACGAAGCCATCGATTAACAGTTATAGATCTACGTACGGTGCGAAATAAGTTAAACGTACATACATCGCATACGTGAACAACAACCCCCATTCGCCACTAAGTGGTGGTGATGTCACCACGGTGCTTGTGCCAGCCTGAGTGCACTTTAAGGCCATATGAAGTGTCGAACGCCCGCTGGCAGGTCACGGGACAGACCCAGGTGCCATGGGTTGACCGAGATGACTGGCCGATGCACCACCTGTGCTCCCTGCTGTGCCAACATCCACCACACACACGCCTACCTGAATCAGCCACTTAACATCCAAACACACTGCCGGTAGCGTACGTGATCTCTTTTTTTGGTCGTACGATTTCATACAAGATGCGGGTTTTCAGAATTACCGTCACAATAACATTCTGCAGATGTTCATGGAATGCTTCTTAGAGTCCTCATTTGCGTTTCACTCTGTCGACCAACAGAACTCATCAGATCTTGTGGAGGCATTTGAAGAGTTTTTTAACAAGGAGACGCTGGACGAATACACCTGCGGAATGTGAGTTGGGCATCGTGTGTTGACACCCTGGAATCATTTGTAGCTTCAAAAGTCTGCAGATTAAATCAAATTATAATAAAATATTTTAATAAAATTTTATGTAAATACATTGAAAATAACTTACAATATATAATAAAAGTAACAATTTTTTATTTTAAGAAATTAAGAAAAATTAACAAACAACAAAAAGAGAGTAGACTTATTGTTTAAAGTTGGGTAACGCGTGCGATGGCTGGCGTTGTTGTTGTCGTGCAGGTGCTGCTGCAAGGGGGAAGCGACGAAGACGATGGCTCTCCACCGCCTGCCCAACGTCCTCACCGTCTCCATCAAGCGGTACAACCTCTACGGCGTCAAGATCAACCGGGTAACGATTCTGCCCCTCCACATCGTTCGAATTAAATTACTTAATGACAGCCCTTTGTCAGTTCAACGCTGGAGAAAATGCCTCTCCATGTTGGAATAGGTCCGACAGATAGACTCGCCCCCCGTCATGTGACTGTAGAATTTCCACCACTTGCTCAGGGCTATGAACAGGAGATGAGCACCGTCTTCAACGCTCAAATTAGCGAGACATCACGTCACTTTGACGTGTAACTTAGATGGTGCCCATCTCTGCTGCCCACCCCACCACCCCTGCCGTTTCCTCTCCTAACATTTGTCTCTGTGCACTGCCTCCCCCTCCTGTGCGCTGCCTGTAGAACATCACCTACCCGGAGCACCTGGACATGCAACCCTTCACCTCAACGTCTCAGGGCGAGCCCGCGATCTACTCCCTGTACTCGGTGCTGGTGCACAAGGGAGCCAACTCCAACAGGGGTCATTATTATTGCTACAATAAGGTAATTCCATTCGTTACTATCAAACAAAAACAACGCACATCTGCAATGCGCCCATAATGTTACCAATGTCCGATAGGGAAGAATAATTAAAAGTCTTGTGTATGTTCTTGCGTCTTGATGCACTCATGCAATTTCTACTTAAAGTGTATACTTTATTTGTATTTAGTGACTTCCATAGCATTTCTACACTTTGCACTCCAATCGGTGTTGTATTGTTTGTTGTTGTTGTAACTTTCTGACCCGCCCCGACTGGACATTTGTTTAAGAGCTTCGTAGATCATCGAATTCTTTCAGTACAAATAAAGATTCTGATTCTGATGAAATTGGTCCAAGGTCATCCATGCAGTGATATATTCAGGCAGATCGTTTCGTAACTTCAGCACCATCACAGCAACCGTAGCACGCTCTGACAAAGGGGTGATGCTCTTTACGAACTTGTTGTCTAGAGTGTGTATTGCGTGTTGTTATTACATCAACGGAGGAATCTGGGTGCAGTTGTGTAAACATTGTAACCAAGTGTAGCTGTGCTTTGACTGTGCGCAGATCAGCGATGGACAATGGTGCTGCATGAACGACTCCAACGTGCGGCACGTCGACACCAAGGCTGTGATGAATAAGCAGGCCTACGTGCTCTTCTATATTCGGTAAGTCACATTCTCTCCCCTCCACTTTAACCTGCACTTACAACCGTCCCCCAGACCAGCTCACTGGAAAGATATTGTCTTGTGCGAGCAGCAGTGTCTCCTTTAAAGGCAGGTGTTAACGGTTTGCGACGCGTTGGTGCGTGCATGCAGGTCCCCAGAATTGAACGCGCCGCCAGCGGAGAGCTACTGCCCGCTGGAGCACGTCAAGGCGACGTCCTGGTCGTGCCTTAAGCGGCCCCACTCGGCGAAGGAAGACCCCGGACCCAGTTACCGGACAGCAGCTCTCCTCACCGGCGCGCAAGGTAAAGGATGGATTGGAAACGCCGTCCTGTGTGCGTGGAAATGCCCAGGGAGAATGTACACCCTGACAGCGCATCATTTTATATTAAGGGAATGGTGAAGTACAGCGATCTTCTTGTTTATACTTTAGACCGGTTTTGTTTCATTCTCCCAATGTCGAGCGGTTTGGACTTTAGCGCCATCATCTTCTTTATCTCCAGAAACCCAAGATGTCGGACCGCCCCAACGGGAACAACTGCCGGAGCCACTGCAAGTGCGACGGCAGGAACAGCAGCAGCAGCAGCTACCGGCAACGCCAGACACGCAACAGCCGTTGCCGCTAGTCCCAGAGCAGCCACCACCACCACCCCGATCTCACAGCAGCCGCTGCCATTCCACCAGCAACCACCGCCAGTCCTACAGCAGCCACCACCACCACCGCCGCAGGTCTCATAGAAGCCGCCGTCAGCACCACAGCAGCTGCTGCCACCGCGTGTCCCACAGCAGCCAGTCCAACAGCAGCCAGTCCAACAGCAGCCAGTCCCACAGCAGCCAGTCCAACAGCAGCCAGTCCAACAGCAGCCACCGCCACCAGTCCCACCACAGCCACCGCCACTCTGGTCGCACAGCAGCCACCACCGGTGTAACAACTGGCACTCGCCCCACCAAGATAAGTCGCTGGTTAAAATCCATGATCACGTGTCTAACCTCTTGCTTCCCCTCAAGATCAAACTAATTTTGAGAGACATTTTACGAAGGCACCAGGTAGAGGCTCACCATGGCGTCGCCCGCCCCCCTAAAATGTATTCATCGCCGGCTCCACCACCAGCCTCTGAAATCACTTGAACATCATTGGAATCACCTTAGACTCGACATTCTCACTCGACGACCACATTCTCAACACAATAAAGAGCTGCAATCACTAGCTCAAGGCCTCATGCACGCCCGTCCAATGCTGACAGCCGTCCGACGAGATAGAAAACATTTAAAGCAACTCTGACCTCACAATCCACGAAGAAAGAAAATATTTTTAAGTTCACTAGGTTTGCTTTCTACCTGATGACGATTGCTTGTGTTGCAATCGAAACGTCGTATTCTATTATTTAATTTATTTATTTTCTACGTGACTTTACCGAAAGAACCAAAGAGTATTTACACTATGAGACCTCCTTTACCAGTGGCAAAGGAGGTCTCATAGTGTAAATGCTTACCCCGAGCTCTCAATACTCTGATAGTGTGCTGTTTTTGAGTTGTACGCCTTTTGGCGTCTTCTGGTCCAACACCAATGGAGACTAGGCTCTAAGAAAAGCTGTCTCGGGTGTGGACCAATCAACTTCAAGGACAGTGCATATCATTATCAAAGTTGTTTCTTTTTATTTGCATTTTGACTGCTTGTGTTGTGGTTATTGCAAACATGCCTTGTATAAAGGTGTCAGTTTTGTACCAGTTTAAAGGGTAAAAACCTACTATAACCAAAGAGTAATTCATGCAATCACGAAAGCTTCAAATCAAGTTTTAATCCACGAAGACTTGAAACACCCAGCACGAAAGTGCTTAAAATCACGCCAGCCATTCTGGGAAACAGGAGCCAAGATCCATGCAGGCGGCACCAACCCATTATGTCTTGGGGTTGATGTTTATTCCCTGGCCAATCGTCAAGAGAGTTGGCACCAGGAACGTCATTGTGATGGTGACCGCAAAATGAACTGTCCCATTACAAATGAAGACCGAGATTGCATCCTCCGCAACGCGAGGCCGGAGTGCGGTCTCAGTGAGGTCGTGCAAGGTATTCCCGTACGGTTCTTGTCTCTGTTCATGTAAAATGCGGGGCTTTTATTTTGCGTTGTCTCGGGGATTAAAAAAGTAACCGCTGTTGCAAAGTATTTATTTATTGAACTGTGAATACGTCGGCACTTTTTAAACTACATATCTGTTACTTTTTTATGTACGGGGCGTGCACATTTCAATGGACACGCTAACCGTAGCGCCAAGCCGTTACCACGTGAAATGTACGGATAAATGATGAACTTCGCCAAGCACTTTATTTCCATCATCCACGATACCTCCAGAAATAGCGGTTTCTGAACTCGTGAATGTAGATCGGTGACAATTCGGTCTCCTCGGGGTTTTTATCGTTTGTACAAAAGCAGCTCAAAGTGTGGGAAGGGAAAGCGAGATTAATGTTTTCCAGAGATTTTGTCTACCTCGTTTTGTATTTGCACTTGAAATGAATATATACTTGTCGTGACAAAACTGGTCTCGCTTCCATTTATTACTTTGCCATCGCAGTGTGTGTGTGTGTATGTGTCTTTGTGTGTGGGTGTATGTGTGTATGGGTGTGGATGTGTGTGTGTATGTGTTTGTTTAAATGTGTGTGTGTATGTGTTTATGTGTGTATGTATGTGTGTATGTGCGTGTGCTCGCTAACAGCACTTGCCCCAACAGCCTGTTTGGCTATACGGGGGGTGTTTGTCTTTGTATGTCTGTGTGTTGATGGGTGTGTACGTGTTTGTGTGTGTGGATGCGCGTGTGTGTATGTTTAACTTCTTTAGCACCACACACAGCCAACCGTGCTAATCTGAGGTGTGGGGGAACGACAACAAACTAAACACAAAAAGCAGAAGTGGCGTGCAACTAGCACAGGAGTACACTTGTGTACACGTGCACTTGCTGTACTTGTCAGAAACGTGTGTGGGTAAGAGGTCAACACCGCCTTGCTGACCTAATTAAATGTTGAATATAAAAAGTGGATAGAAGGTAAAGGTACAGCCCCTGCGGTTGTTCACGCCACTGCCGGCAAATGGGGCCTCCACGAGAGGGAGCTGCAGAGAGCCCCTGTGAGGGTAATTGGCCTACTCCTCCACACTGGCCAGGAGGTCTTGGAAGAGGAAGGTCGTCAAATATGAAGTTAGATAAACCTGCCGCTTACAACATTTGACCGTAACGCGTTTGCTGGCGACGCGCTTCTTGCCGGGCCCAAATCCAGGGCGGCGTGTGAAGAAAAACGGGGTCCCAGAGAATGTTGACTCCAGCACTGGGGGGGTGCCGGTACACTGGGGCACTGCTGTGGGTGTGGTTTCTCAATCGCCCAGCCACGTGGAGGAGTAGCCACTGATATGAAACGCAACGCCATCGTCTCATCTAATCAGCCCGTTCACCCGTGAAGCGGTGGCACGGCCCTTAGCTGCCATCAAAGTTCGATTCCCGGCCACGGCTAACGTCGGTGCTGAGTGACATCTGAACAGATATTTGGGCTGCCTCCCCTTCACACCAACTCGTACTGGTGAAGTATGATTAAACACCCCCCACCCCCCCCATTTACTGACATAGAGTGGGGGGCTCTTACCTCCGCTGTGGATTGACAGAGGGCCGCTGTCTAGGCTTAGCCCACGCCAGGATAATCGCAGCATCCCTCTGCAATAGCTCTGCTGTGACACCTGAAGGCACACAAACACACAAGTGGGTGGCCAGGTGAGGGAGGGTCACGTCTCATTCAACGAATAAAAAACGAAAAGGAACCCGCCACGGATATTCACCAAGCGCCAATGAGAGCGTCGTGGCGATGCTGCTCCTGTCAGAAACCCGCCACACGATGCAGTGCGGGCACGAGTTGACAATTTAAACCCCACGCACCCGCTACTTTGCTTGTCAACACCCTCAGCATTAAATGAAACTGCAGAGTTTAGTTTAACATTCAATGATTGTCCTACACTAAGTAGTCATTTAATTATCGTTTAATGAGTCATTCGATTTAACAACGCAAAAAATGTGAAAGATCGTAACTCAAACGCTACAGCTATTGAGAGAGCTATTGTGGAATTCTGTTAAATCCAAGAAAAGTAACTTATTGCAAATTTTGCATTTTCATAGTAATGGTTTGAAAATTATTTCACACGGTTAATGATGCAACTACTGGCACAGGACAACCGCAGCTCAAGTGTGAACGCCTTCACTATGAGAGGGGTCACCCTGCAGGGTTGAGTAGAGATCTCTATCCCACCCTGTATAGAGCAGTCAACGCGTGTTTAATACTGAGCACTACTCAGTGCACACGGCGGCAAGAGCGCACTTTATGAATGGAATCGGTCATCATTGACGAATGTTGGGGTCTTTTTCGATTTAAAGCTTTCGTGACTGCAGGGATTCAAATTCTAGGTTCTTTCGGTAAAGTCACGTAGAAGGGAAATAATAAAATAATGAAAACAAAACAATACAATTCTCACGACGTTTCGATTGCAACACAAGCAATCATCATCAGGTGTGAAACCCACAGCAAGAAAATTGTGGTTTTCACACCTGATGATGATTGCTTGTGTTGCAATCGAAACGTCGTGAGAATTTAATTGTTTTATTTTTATTACTTTATTATTTTCCTTCTACGTGACTTTACCGAAAGAACCAATAATATGAATCCCTGCAGTCACAAATGCTTTAAATCGAAATTGTTGCGTTTTAGCAAATAGCCCCAGAGTCACCCAGTTCCACTCGATATTCAGCTCGAGTTGGACCGAACATTCGGGTCAGACGGCCACTTGAGAGGGTCGCACGCATCTTCAATGGAGCCTCCATCAAGGCATTGTTGCATTTCCCGATGGGCCAGAGCAGCAACTGATGCCACCCAAAGGTGACGAAACCTTTTAACGTAGCGGCCGTCACGTAATTCACTTTCATCGACCATATCGAGGTGAGCACTGCAGTCAGGATCACGGCAGATGTTCTGTGTACGTGGAGTGGTGGTGCTGTTATTTTTACTGTTATTTTATTTTAACCACCTAAGTCCCACTGAGCTCCATAGCGCTTTTATAAGAAGCGAACCTGGCCACAGATGATAGCTCAGCAAAGTGGCTTCTCGCGTGGACATTTAGAGCACCAAATATTCTCAACACGTCGACTCTAAATGTGGATGGGAACACCGCAGCACCGGGAGAGAAATCCACGCGACCACGTGGAGAGAGACACCGCAGACTCCACATCTAGAGCAGCAGCAGCAGCAGCAGGCGTCGGGGTCGAACCCACGACCTCCTGCACACCGGGCGAGGTAGTTAACATCTCCTAGCCACCGTGGCGACCCGAAGCCTTCATCCAGCAGTGGACTGCCAACACGGCATGGGGCATCACTGCGGGTCTACAAAGGTACCTGGTTGGAGGATGTGGAGCTGAGTGGACTTGCCGATGAGCGCTACCGGCGGTGTCAAGATCGGCCTCTGTGGAGGAGGAGGCTCGTGAGGGACGCTCACAACAACGAGCGGAGAGGCGGGCGGCTAAAACGCGGCGAGTTGGCACAGCTGGTGGCGTCTGCAGCCATCTCGAGTCGGTCAACCCCATGGCACCTGCAGGGTTCTGTCCCGTGACCTCCTGTCAGCGAGCCTTCGACACTTCGCGTGGCCTAAGAGTGCACCTAGCCTGGCACCAACGCCGCGGAGACGTCTGCTGCTGCTGCTGTTGTTGATGCCGCTTGTGTGGACTGTCCTACTGTACGTTGACTTCGATGATTTTCCGTGGGGGAGGTGGGACCAGCGATGGACGAGTCCAAGTTGGTGTCTGACAGGGGGGCGCGGGAGCCCCACGTGGACAGACCACCCCGACACAGCCGCATGCCTGCCAGGCTATTTTGCCGACGCCGGAGGCTCTGCGCAGTACTACGCCTCCACACCCCACCCGTGTCAAGCGACGACTTTGTGCTATTAACTCCATGTACCCAGCCTTGCCCGGGGCCAAAATACATTTTATATCGTATGAAAACTTTAAAACATTACAGAGCAATGACAAAACAACTGTGTCATTACTTTTTAACCCCATGTGCCAACA